TTATCAAGATTTATTGCAGTGTTATGGAATTTCAAAATAACCCTAAACCAGTAAGATTGCTCGGCTTATCAAGATTTATTGCAGTGTTATGGAATTTCAAATAACCCTAAACCAGTAAGATTGCTCGGCTTATCAAGATTTATTGCAGTGTTATCTCGAAGGTATATAATATTTACAAATTGTTTTTCTATCAACTGACAGATGGAAAATAATGAATATTTTCGAAAGTTCAAATACTAATAGTAATGGTAATACATTTTAAACAATACAATAATCATATAATGTTGTATATTTCATATTTAATATTCATTTATCATTATCATTTTAACGTTGAGCTGAAATAATAAAAATAAATTATTAAAAAGAAAAAAACAGTGAAGTTTTTAATGCAAATAAAAAAAAGTGCTAAAGTGATAACCTGATTAATTTGATTTCGATAGCCAAGATTTAATTGCCCAAGAAGTGATCGAGCAAATGGTAGACATCGTCGCTCACCATTTTCATCGTGTGTTGGAAAGAATGGATCATTGGATGGTACAGGTAATGGCATACAATGTATTGAGAGAGTTTTGTGTGAATCACATCGTGTACAATTCAATATCTCATTGTCTGGTCCTTAATTACAGGAATATGATAGGAAAGAAATGAACGATCTGCTTTGTAATTAACAACTGATAATGTAAATTAGATTATCAGTAGAATTCAAATTTATTATTATGAATTAAATCCAACTGAAATATACTGTTTAGTATATATTTGCCAAATGTTTGGTTGATGAAATTTTGAAATTTTTACTCGTTTACTGTTAGGTTAAAATGAAAAAGAATTAAAATTTTTTTCCTTTCCTATTATTCTTACAATTTTACTAATTTTAAGCAATTCATTTTTTTCGTAAACCATAAAAAGTATTCAGAAGCTGCAAAAAAAAAAGGAAAAGTCTTGAACATTTACTTCATGAATTTTTGTCAGATTATCAGTTAGCAAGGTGAACAATTTATTTATAGAAAAGTAACTTATAAGTTTGTCTAATCTTTACAGAAATATTTGCTAAACTAGTGATATTTAAATTGTGCATATCTAATTCAGTGATATTTAAATTACAGTGATATTTAATCAGTGATATTTACTAATAGTAATGATATTTAAATTCTGATAAAGATGATTTGCTTTTTTGTTTTTTTTTCCTTTTAAGAAAATCTTACTAGATAAAGTATGTACTACAATTATTAACTTTAATTTAGCTATTTACGGATATTTATGCAATTCCAACAAGTCATTTCAATTTAATGAAACAAAAAAAAGAAAATAGTTCGTATTATTTGTAGAAAATAAAATTATTGGATGAATTTCAATTTCCGATTGTTAATTGCATATAGTAATATATGCATTAATAATCCGAATTATATATACAAATAAAATGCAACAATTTATTGATATCAATAAGTATTGCTCCAAAATATTTCTTTTAATTAGTTGCGACCAATAATTAGTTAATTAACATAAACAAACCATCATTTTACTGATTTAATTGTTTTACTAAATTATTATATAATCATTGTGTATATTTATTTAATTTTAATAAATTGTCACCTTACTGTTTAATTATTTTATCATTTTATTATATAATCAATGTGTATATTCATTCGATTTTTAATAGTTTATTATAATTCCAAAAAAGTTCTGCCATTGATGAGATGAAAAGTATGCAATTTATCAATATTTATCAGTATTATCAGCAATTATTTATATTGGAAGATTTTTCTTCCATAATTATATGAAATGAATTATTTAGCATTTCCTTAATTAATTTACATGTCGATGTATATATTTTTTGCAATTTAATTGTTTACAAATGTTCAAAAAAAAAGTTTTGTTAATTGGGAGAATACAAATTGATTGATGAAAATTTATGCATAATTAACAATTATTAAGTACTACGAAAACAAAAGGAAACGTTAAGTATGTCCTACCAGTTGTGAAAACTAAAATTAATCGATAAGTATGCATTATTAGCAATCGTTAATTATTTCTAAAGTAGAGTAAATGTTAATTTACCACGTTCAATAGGTGAATGTGTCATTTCATGATCGAGAATTTGTCCAAATTGCATAATCATAAGGCTATATTTTTGATGACTAATTGGTAAATCAAAATGTATTGCATTTGAAATTACACGTGCTGATGGTAGCAGTGCACCTGTTTCAGATCTCGATCGTGGTATATCAATTCCTGAATTAATTTTTCACTTCTTAAAGTGACAGAAGATATCACTACTAGATAGTTTGTTGTAATTCTTAATTGAAACAAAAAAGGTAATAATAAATATGATTTGTAATCAATTACAATTAGTAACTATTATTAGCACTGATCAATGGTCAACGAAAGTAATAATGGTAATAGCGCACTATAGTGTCATCAAAAACAATTATTTAAATATGATAATAATGTTGAATTGTTGATTGACTGAAGTAGAATTAAAATTTTCAATTCTCAAATATGAACTTTCACCTCACCATCATAATCATAATATTGTTAGCTTTCGGATATTTTCTACGTTCTAATATTTTCTTCCCAACTTGGTGTTGTTTTCTTCTCAAAAAATTCAAAAGCAAACCATCATCATAAGCTGGTGGTAGAAGATGAATTAATGGGCCAAAAGCATTAGCGAAATGTGGATTATGAAGATTGTTACACCAACCGGACATTGTCCGATATGGTGTGACATCATCGCATGGCAAATTTTTTGGTAAGCATTTTTCCACTAATCCATTACGTCCAAGAAATGGTTCAATTCTGCTAATGAATCTAGAAAAATGATTCAAATCTAAAAATTCAATATATTCTATTAACTTTTCAACTTTCAGCCAATATATATTATTTTTTCAGTTAAATTTTCAATTTTTTAGCTTTACAATTTTGCTTTCATGATTGATTAGATAAGTGACATTTGTCTTGATTGATTAGATAAGTGACATTTATCTTGATTGATTAGATAAGTGACATTTGTCTTAATTATATTGGATTCTAAGTGAGGTAGTAGTGGATTTGATGTAATTTCGAATAAATCAGCTCTTATCAGCTTTCTCTTTTTTTTAACTGATCAGATAAGTGATTATTGTTGATCTCTATATAAGTCAGTAGCAAATTTTGTAATTTTAATTGTAATTTTAATCAAATTTCTTAGTGTGCTAAGATTTAAATCCACATTTTTTTATTCAAATAAATTTGGAACTAAAAAAAAAGACCTGTGGGAAAAACTAACGAGCTGACATCAATTTGTTGTAGCAAATTTTGTATCTCATTAATATCCATTTCCTTGAACTTACTTTCTGATCCAATGCTATAAGAAATATATAAAGCATGCTTAGAATAATTCTTTTTCTTTTTTTTTTAAATTAATAATAATTCATATCAAATGATAGAGAAATCAAATATTTTAGGCTTACTTAGATATGATATTTTTGGTAACCTGTAAGAATACGTCAGATGCTCGAGCGATCATAATAGCTTCACGTTTTGCTCGCATCATTTTACCGTATGATAATAGTGGATCACCAGATTTAAATATATTTTGATCTGAAAATATAAATCTTCGATCTTTAATCATTAATGCTTTATTGAGATCAATGTTTAAATAACTGATAACATAATATACAAGCAATAATATTTAGTCTTTTTGTTTGCAGAATTCATTATTCACTAAAATAAACGAAATAGCTCACGTAAATTACAATTAATTTAGCATAATAATTAAATGTAAATTATAATATATATGAAAAGTAGCATGCACGAATGCATGCTTGCAGGCACTAATTAGTGAATATATTTCTAATTAATATATAGTAACTTAAATTGAAGTCATTTCGAGTAATAATAAAATTGGGACAAAAATAAAAAACGAAAAAACAAAGAATGATACTTTGTCGGATACGTTGTCGCTCACGTTTTTGACGTTGTTTAACTTCGTTTATAGCAATTTCAACTGCTTTCTCAATTGCTGTTTCTGTTAGAGGTATATTTAGTTTATGAAATGATTCATCGGACCATTTGTTAATATTCATATCCAATTGTAATGTTTCGTTACAACCAATTGGATAATTACTATAGAGAAAATTTTAATTAAAATTATTTAAAATAAAATTATTGCATTAAATTAAAACCATTAGAAGTGAAAAAAAAGGTTGAAAGGTTTATACGGATAAACAAAAATCATTTTATTATAGTGATTTTTGACAGGAATCACTTTATTATGGTGATTTTCGACAGGAATCACTTTATTATAGTGATTTTTTAGGGCTCATTGGTTTGGGAGATGCTATATTTTGAAATTATGACAAAAATTTTGCAATCACACCTACTCGTAATTATTTTCTAATTCGAATACTTTTGGTTGTAAAATATCTAAATATTCCACATTATTACACAATATTTTAGCCATTGTTGTTTTCCGGATTTCAGTTAATTGTTCCTCTGTAAAACCTGATTGTGCGTTATCATTCTCATACCAATAACGATCACCGTCTTTCGTCTAAATTTGCGCAAACCATTAACACGCTAATAATAATTTATTTGAATCTTAAAAATGGAAGTAGTAAATGCAGTAGAATAATAGTAAAAACAAATAAAAATAATAAATTCGTTCGATCTTTGCATGTTTTATTTTGCTTGATTGTATCTTGATAAAATTGATAAAAGTTATTGATAAAATGATAAAAAATTGATACCAAAAATAATCGGTGAATGAAAAATTTTAAAATTCGGTTAAAATTGAAAAGAAAATCATTAATTAATAAGATTAAAAAACCTTTTGAAATTGTAATGAAATGATGCAACTAAACGTTGGTCCAAGAAGCGCCCCATTCAATGGTTTTTCAATTAAACCAATTAAGAATAAATCCATATCATCCACTGTTTTATACATATTTGCTAATTCTTTGATCAATTCTATTCCATCCATCAAATCATCCATCAAATCATCAAATGATAGAATCTATTTAAAATGTTTATTCAAAATGAAAATTCGAAAAAAAAAGGTTTTTCGCTATAGTTTTTTTTCATTTTTGTAAAAAAGTGTAACAAAATTAAAAATTGAAAATTGTAATGTTTTGAGTTAAATAATCTTAACCTTACTACCATCACAATATTTTCTCCATACAGTATACGGTGGAATACCATGATCACGACCTATTTGTAAAATCAATGCTACAAGATCATATTCCAAATTTCTTTTTCCTTTAAAAAGTTTACGTTGAAATTCATCATTCATGTAAACCATAGATTCATTAATTGGCTCACGTAAGATATATCTGAAAATTTGTTAGCAGAAAATTTAAATAATTCTTTTAAATTTTTACTTTTATGGTTTCTTTTTCAATGAAAAGAAAAGTATCAAATCATATACGAGTAGAAAGAACAATTTTTATTTTTCAATTCATCTTCATATCACTATTTATCACAGCAAAAGAAAAAAAAAGAGGAAGACTACTGACCTCAATATTCCTCTAATTTGATCTGATGAAAAAAGTAATCCTGGATCATTGAAATATTCATTTAATGACCGTTCAAGTATTTTGATGCTATCATCTTTATGCCATGCAAGATGTTTGCCAAACATTGTGACGAAAAACTGTAAATCGTATTTTGGAAAATTTTAATGAAATTTCAACTTTTCAAAGCAATTAGAAAAAGCGTTACAAGCGAAAGGATAATGAGATAAAATTTAAAAAGTTTTATTCCTACTATCAATTTATAGCAGTTTTTTTTTTTTAAAAAAAGAGAAAAAAAACCTTTGTAAGAGCATCGATTTATAGTATCATTTTTAATTACCAAAACAAATAAAAAAAGAGGTTCAGTCAATGCTTCTTTTTCAACATAAATTATTCTAATGATAATTTTGAATAATTCAAGAAGTTTAATAATATCATTAATTGAAATGTGCATTTTATTAATAAATGAAACGATGAAAATTCTTGTTGGCCCAATAAATAACTAGCTAAAAAAATGAACTTGTCCAGCAGAAGCAGCATATGTATTGATAACAGTAGGATTCACGTTCTGATTATACTTCTTACTGTAGCCATAAGATTGTAACTGTAGTTTGAACTTTGACCAGTTTTCTTTACCAATTAAAATAGGCAGGAATTCGTTATAAGTGATATGCTGCAACTGTGCGATCACTATTCGTCGACTTTCCTGATACAATTGTTCATCAGACCAATGTGGATTTATGACCTATAATTCACCAAAAACAATTAAATTAATTAGTAAGTGGTTAAAAAAATTTAAGCTATTTCAGTATTTCCTGAAATGAATGATATAATAACACTATATTGAAATTGATTAATGATTAAAAAAATTAAGCTGTTTCAATATTTCCTGGGATGAAATTAATCAGTAATGTTGCACTGAAATTAATTAATGATTAAAAAAGTTATTCTAATATTTCCATTCCCAGCATGAAATCACTCAAATTAAAAAATACTATCAGTTTCTCTTTCTTTTTTCCTTTACTTAATAAACACTTGTCTTAGTAAAAGAAGGCTTCTTATCTTTAAAGTCCTTATTTTGAAATGATTAAAAACTCATTCATCTGATTGAAATGAAAGTTAGAAAAAAAACCAAAAAATTACGACAAGTTTTCAAAAGTTACTAAGAGTTTATATAACGGATAATTCGAGAAAGTACATTTATATAAGTAAGAAAATACATTTCATATATTGTGCAATTAATTTTGTGAAATTAATCGAAGCAACTCATAAGAAAATCTTTTAAATCTTATTTTCAACTTATATGGGATGATAAATTTAACAGATAATCAACAATAATTAATCTTTTTTTCTCTGATTAGATTTGGGGAAATTTCGAAATTCTAAAATAAGAATGCAAAAAATCACCTTTAAATTAGTAGCAATTCGATTGTGTTGTCGTATCCAAATAGTATGAAGAATAATAAAGGATGGTAAGAAATTTGCATAATTGGAACCATTAACAAATCGGGATAATTTATTCCTTGAATAACATTCAGCAGTCATTTTCAACATACTGCATAGTAAGTCAATCATCGGTAGTGGATTTTGATTCAGTGAATTCGAATTTATTAATAGATGACCTAAAAGATAACGATAAATATGAATGGATCAATAATTCAATCAATATTGCTATTTCTCAGCATTATGGTTAACTGTCATAACAAAACAATTAATGTTAACTACATTTATTTGGAATTGTTTGCAATTATTAATAAAAGGTTTGACACATACTTCAAAATGATTATCATTAGAGGGTCTTATTTACTTATCTTTCGCCTTTCTATGATGCTATATAGCGTTATAGTATTTGGCTTAACTTATTTACTTAGGCCATGATATCAGTTACTTTAATTGGATTATATGTTTATCAGGAACTTTACCTGGACAATGTATGGTATGTATGATATCAATTTTATCTGGATTATATGTTATATCAGTAACTCTACCTGGATTATATGAGGTTAGTAACATTGACGAGATTATATTGATATCAGTAACTTTACCTGAACATATTTTGATAGCAATAACTTTACTTAGATTACATATGATATCAGTAATTTTTTGGATTATTTATCTCGTGATATAACTATGAAGGATCTTTTTCGTGTTTTTTTTATTTCCTTCTTTTCTGTTCTACAAGAATCCTTTTTTCATATAAGAACGAACCCACCTGAAAAAACTAACCCATCTTCCCTACTAAATTGATCTTTAATCTTTTCCATCAAAAACATCACGGGAAATACCAATGAAAAAGTCAAAAGGTATCTACCGTTTTTAAATGTCCTCAAAGCACGTGCTTGTTGTACGGTACTACCGTAAATAGTGCTAGCATCGAGAAAGCTAGTAGCCTGATTAGCTTGTTCACGTGGACCCAATTCACATTTAGGTCGTGGTGCTGGAGCGGTACGCATATAAGGTAGACAATCCAAAAAACCACTGTAGCTAGGATCACTTTTTGTCACCAGAATCGGCTTACATTCGAGGTGTTGCTTAGTTTCTGGTGTACAACACGGCAACGAAGTTTGCTTTTCATCTGAAATCATTTAAAATATCTACAGTTAAAAATTATTTATAATAATTATCTTAAGAGATCAATCAATATTGATATTCTTCAATATTGCATATAATTACAGTTAATTTAGCAACATTATAATGAACATTTTGTAGTAAGAAATTTAACAAGAAAACGGAAAATTTTTAACTCAAACCATTAAATAGTTGAAGACTTCCAGTATGCACCAAATCCGTATAAACAAAATGCGCCCAAAGCGCAATTAATGTATTTACTTTCAGTGTTGGTGAATGCTCCTTCATGAAGAATAAATTTGATAAGTGTCTAACGTTTGGTAATTCATTATCATCAACAATTGAAACACGTAATTCATCAATTCCTAAAAGTATTATCGATTTGTAACAATATTTTTCCTTTTTAAATTAAAATTCAAAACTGTACTTTTCAAACTTATGTATAGCAAGAATTTTTGCATCTCAGAAATGTGCGATTGATGTATAACGTCGAATTTAACGTCAAACATCACGCGAAATTTTACGTCAAGAAAATATAAAACATGCTGTATTTAATATTATATATACAAAGTTTGTAAATAAACGAATTTTTCAGAACTGAACATTTTTTTGCCAATTTTACATTGTAATATTTTACGTTGTTCCAAATATTTCATCAAAAAACTTATAAATTTACTACATTTACAATACATTTTAGTCCAAAATAGACAAAGAAATTACCGCGAATTTAATTGAAATTTGTTTTCTTATTTGAATTTAGCCTCTAAAGATGAATTTCAAACAAAAGCAATCAATAATAATAATAACAACAACAACAGCAACAACAATAACAACAATAACAAACACAACAACAACAGAAATAGTAACAATCATATGAATCAGTAAAACAATAACAAAAACACTGTTGTTACAAATGTTTTGTTACATATTACAAATGTTAGTGTTATAAACGACAATAACAGCAACAACAGTAACATCTGCAACAATAACGACAGCAATAATAACGACACAACTGCAGCAGTACCTATAAAGCAATAATAACAATAACGACAATAACAATAACATGCACAACAATAACAATTGCGGTAATTATTAATTAGCACAAGTTTTACATACATTAAGTATTCGATGAAAACGTTATTTGAACACAAATAATGTTATTTGGTTAAGACGACCACAAGAATAATTCATGATTAGTTATCAATCAATGATTACAGTAAATAATTTCATTTGTCATTTCCTATCAGATGAATGATTACGGTGAATCAGTTTATTTATTTTTCCTTAATACATGGAACATACATACCATTAGCGTAAAATGGTTTAATGATACGTTGCATCGGTGCACCAGTAGCACCCCAATTAGGATGTATAATATTGTTGCAGGTGCCATCAATAGTACGGTACTTACTATTCGAACATTCAATTTCACGTAATGGACAGTACTCTTGGATATGCTTCAAAACAACTGGTAAAGCATTAGCTGATTTAATGCCACCACTGCAAAGAACTGTAAATTTGCAATTTTAATTATCAGTAAATAAGTTATTAAGAAACTCATTACATTACATGGTAATAACGTGTACTCATTACCATTACATGATGTACGTTATTATTATTATCACTATTATTGTTAAGATTATTATTATTATCATTGCTATTATTATTATTATTATTATTATTACTAATTATTATTATTATTATTATTATTATTATTATTATTATTATTGTTATTATTATTATTATTATTNTTATTTATTATTATTATTATTATTATTATTATTATTATTATTATTATTATTATTATTATATTATTATTATTATTATTATTATTATTATTATTATTATTATTTATTATTATTATTATTATTATTATTACTTATTATTATTATTATT